CACATTCGAGAGTTCAAGGCGGTGTGCACATCGAAGACAAGAAGACTTCCTACCAGATGAACCCAGGAGTCGGATACACTCTTGGAGGAGGATTTCACTGCACCACTTTTGACAACATCGCCCAAATCTTCAGAGAAGGACTACGTCCCGGAGGAGGAGGCGACCGTATCAATACGTTCTTCGTGCCATTCGCACCGTGGGACGTGCGAAGTCAAACGGTGCTGAGATTCAGGAAGATTGAACAAACTGATCTTGTCTACATCTACATCACGTACGATTCCATCGCCAAGTTCTCCCCTCGATTATCAGCAGACGGACACATTTTGGTCCAAGAAACAATTCCATTCGAATCATTCGATGCAGTTTGGTACTATGATTGGAAGGAAAAGGACTACTACCGTCTCATGATCACAAAGGGAAAAGATCAACTTGTACTTTCGGTGCAAGGAGCGAGGAGGGTGGCCACCATTGAACGATTTGACAAACTCATTGGGAACATTGTGCCTGATGAATCATCACCCGATCTGAACGAACTTCGAAAGCTTGTCGATATCAAGACCGGTCACTTCAGTCATACTCACAGATTGTTCCCTGGACATCCGGATTGGAATGATGCAATATCATTGCTAGCAGTCACTCATCATCCCAGCAAGGAGGACCATCGACTATGCCCTGCATGTCTGATGGAGACCCCTGCACCACTATCGATTTGTGTGATGTGCAAAGGATTTTTGGTAAGTCATGGATGGAGGAAGCGAATCAAGATCACCGTGGCTACTGTACCAAGTGCCGAATCACGTCCTCGAGAAGAAGATCTCAAAGACCATGTCAAGAAAGCATGGGAAGAAGTGAAGATCGATTTGACAGGTGAAGATGATGACGACGAGCTGATGCAAGATGATGATGACGTCACCATGAAGAGTCCAGAACAAGAACCTCAACCAGAAGAAGAAAATGATGATCAAGCCTCGAAGAAGGGCGACATCAATGATGAGAGAAGAGACTTCAGAGAGCAAGATGAGGTCGATAAATTTCTCAATGAGGAAGGAAAACAGACCGATGAGAATGACGATGAAGAAATAGAGGTCGATGAAATCAACATCGAGGAGTACGAGGCTGGAGAAGCTCATGATGCAGTGATTGAGTACCCCAAGTGGATGAAGAGGATTGAGTTTGGATCAAAGGTCCTACCAATCGAACCTTGTACAATCGGGGATGCTCAGCCGGAGCTCATCAAAATCCTCCTGTTACAGATTGGATTACATATCGTCAGGATCTACAGACTATTCCAACGGAACTTCTGTGGAGACATTGAGACGGCATGGAAACACTTTCAACAGAACCAGAAATTCAGGATGGACTTGGATTCAAGAGTGCCATACCTAGGTGAGGATGAAAATGGTGAACTCATCGAACCAACTGCACAACAGATGAAGGAGCTGTACCAAGAAATCGGCCGACCACAACAAAAGGACGACATCGGGGAAGAGGGATTCGTCAATGCATACTATGGGGCAGTGGTACTCAAGCGACTTCTCGTATATACCCTTGAATGTGGCTACACATATGAAGACTTGCAAAATATCTTCTACGACGAAGAGATGGAGAAACTGTCGAAACGTGACACATCAAGGGATGAGATGAGAAAGACCACAGCTGCCCGCGAAGCCCTTGACCGACAAGTTGTCCTGGTCAGAAGAATCATTGCAGGTGCATACAGAGTGAATGCTGTTTATTTCTTCAGGAACGTCGACTTTCAAGACACAATCACACTGAACCCAGTTGACATTGTGTGTGCTCTTCGACCTCCACTTCGAAGAATATCAGTTTTGCACCTGATCCTTCAAAATGGCCGACAATTGCCACGACCTCTACTCCAGAGACTGTATGATGCAATCAATGACTACAACCACATCAAGCAGCGGGATGATCAACGACCAAGATGGGGCATCCACATGACAGAAGCCCACCTGGTTGCGATTGCTGATACCCCGGTTCCTGCCGATCGTGAACGTGCTAACCCGGCAGCTGGCAAATCAAAAGCAGCCCCGAAGGCGGCACCGACACTGGGCAGAGTATCAAAAGCGAAAGCATCATCATCAGCAACATGGAGAACCGTCGAAACTGCTCCTCCGCCAAAACAAGCTCCAGTAACCCCGCCACAGAAAGGTGGAAAAGACCAAGGAAAAGGTGGAAGATCTTATTCACACCGTGGTGGCGATTGGAACCAACATGGATACTATGGATGGGGTTATAGATGATAAATCGACTTGACCTCTGCATAGGTCCTGATTGAACCTGGCGAAGCGAGGCAGCAATCATTGCTCGAGATTTACCTCTACTTCATTTAGAATGATTTCTGAGAGGATTCTGAGCCGGCTAATTTAGAACCACATTTTTTTTGAGCATCATTGCACGAGACGCTGAGTTTCTACAGCGGTCTACATCTCAACCGACGAAGGAACGGGAAGGTAAACTTCTAGTTCCATAGTCATCTTTGTGTTTTGATTTTTTTAATTCGCATGCTTGAGTGGGATTCCATGCTGGCTACGCCACATCGGATGAACCTCAATGCTGTACACAGACTACGTCTTGTCAGCATGCACATGAACAGAGCCTTCATTTTTTTTTTGGTAGAGATCGTAGCAAGCCGCCACGTAGATTTGAAGTTCTGAACGGACTTTAGCTCCCCATAATTCAATAAATGAACAGCTGCAGATGTATAGGAACGATTTAAGGGACACTCCTTTGCGCGTGGCCGACAAAGTTGGCCATGCGTGGGGGGTGCGAATGGGATGTAGACTACAGCATGAAACATACTCCCATGTAAATAACCCTTAAACTTCCATGGCCAAGGGTTGCATATATATGCCCCTTTGGCTCAAGACACTGCTAGCTCCGAGTGAAAAGGAAGCAATGCCGAAACTGCCACTCGTTCGTCATCACTGGTGAGAGATCAACAACCCTTTCTCAAACAACCAAGAGCATATATCGGGGAGATAACCTCCGATTCACACATACATACATACATACATACATGCATACATACATACATACATACACACATACACACATACACACATACACACATACACACATACACACATACAGACATACAGACATACAGACACATACAGACACATACAGACACATACAGACACATACAGACACATACAGACACATACAGACACATACAGACACATACAGACACATGCAGACACATACAGACACATACAGACACATACAGACACATACAGACACATACAGACACATACAGACACATACAGACACATACAGACACATACAGACACATACAGACACATACAGACACATACAGACACATGCAGACACATGCAGACACATGCAGACACATGCAGACACATGCAGACACATGCAGACACATGCAGACACATACAGACACATACAGACACATACAGACACATACAGACACATACAGACACATACAGACACATACAGACACATACAGACACATACAGACACATACAGGCACATACAGACACATACAGACATACAGACATTCATTCAGTCAGTCATTCATTCATTCATTCATTCACTCATTCATTCATTCATCCATTCATTCATTCATTCATTCTTTCATTTATTCATTCATTCATTCATTCATTCATTCATTCATTCATTCATTCAATCACTCACACATGCATACATATGTACATATATATATATATTTATTTATTTACATATATATATATACACATTTACATATGAATATATTCACACTACTGTTTGACCAGCGATTCTCCACATTTTGAATCCGGTTACGGCTCACTGACAAAGCCGTGCGCCAATAGTTTGCTAACCATTTGAGGTATGTTATTGCGACCGCACGTAAAAACACAGTTATCTTTCCGCAAGTGCTCCTCATTGTTTTCGTCAGCATCACCCCTCCTCCTCATCCTCATCATCATCATCATCGTCATCCTCATCCTCATCCTCATCCTCATTCTCATCAGCATGATATCCAGGTCACTTTTCCTTCAGGTAAGAGACTTCACCATCGTCCTTTGTAGGTAACCGCATCCCTTCGTTTTGGGGGCTCAGGTCCATGAGACCTTATTTGATGGGTTTGGGCATGCCTGGTTTCGTCGCTGGGACCGGGGGAATGGTATGGAATGGTGGCCCCGGCAGGCAAGTTTCGGAAAGTGCGAATGTTTTTTGGTGACTTTTATGGGGTTGGTTGGTGGTTTCAAACATTTTTTATTTTCCATAATATATGGGATAATCCTTCCCATTGACTAATATTTTTCAAGATGGTTAAAACCACCAACCAGAGAGTTTGTGTGATCGTTACTGTAAATTACCAGGATATACCCAAATATAATTATGAGAAGCAATTGTGTAGTCGTCCTCCTGATGCCAGAAACAATTAATATCTTTATATTTAAACTGCTTGTGTTTTTTGAATTCAATCCCATCCACCTAATATTAATCATCCCTTTACCCAAATATCTGTATATAAACTGCACAAAGCAATTTTTTTTTTTGGGGGTGTTTCATATTAGTGGAGTAAACATTACATCCCTTGCTTTGTCCCTTTTTGTTTGATCATATAGAGGTTTCCTGAAATAGTGGTACCCCCAAAACCATGGGTTTCAATACCGAAATGGTCTGATTTGGGATGACTTGGGGGTACTCCTATTTAAGAAATCCCCCATTTATTGCCATATGATTTTTTCCTACCTTTTCTTTTTGTTTATCATGCCACGCACCATCCAGGATGCCAGTAGGTCATCTATGCTCGCAGGATCATCGACCGCATCCCAGTGGAACTTCTCATCAGTGCCTGGCTCAGACGGCCAGCCGCCAAAAGGATTCTTAAAGCAAATATCCAGACATTGTTGTGAGACTTAAATGCATATAGTGGGGATCATCCCATTTTTCAAAGTCATATTTCTGACCTCAAACTCTACTTTGGAGGGGGTTTCTGGTGGCTCACACGGCACAGCCAAGATAACTAGGACATGGAGGCCTCACAGCAAAGTGGACGAAACCGAGGTGTGGATGAAGGGGTGCTCACTGTGAAAGATAAGCAACGCGGCTGCAGGGGGCGGTTGGTTTTGTCTGATGTTTTGTTCGGGAATAACCTTTCTTCCGTTGCTTAATCAGAATGATAATGATGATAAAACACATGATTAAATATAAACTGTTAATACATAAGTTAAGACATATGAATTATGGTGATACTAATTTATCATGAATATATATATATACTATACTTGTTATTGAATTGTTCAATTATTTATATGTATATATATATATATGTAATGTTATTTATTTGTTTGTTTGTTTGTTTACTCGTTTTATTTATGTTTTACATACATATAGCATAACATAGAATTATCACACTATTTATATATATATATATATTGTCGAAAGTCTAATCTACTGACCTAAGTTTCTTTTAAACACTATGACACATATTCGTAGTGATAACAATGAGATTTACATATTTTCAAACATTTGACTTACATTGATAAATTATAGTCATGAGTCATAAAGATGAAAGTTATTCTTATATTGGGTGGACATGCCATAGTGCGGGTGATTTCTCTTTTTCAGACACAACCCTTTTGTTTTATGGACGCTTCGTGGGGAGGTGAAGGTGAGGTTTAGATGGTTCGGGATTGATGGTAGTTGTTGGGGATTAGAAACTACCATTTTTATTTTGGCAGAGTATCATTGCGTCCGCTGATCAGCATGAATAACCAGCTATTCCCACAGGAAGAAAACATGATGAATGATAAACTAATGGATTTGGTTCCGTATGGATGTTTCCACACAATTTGCATTGGAGATTACTGCGGCAGTGTTGGAAACGTGGGTCTCAGCATACTTGGGACTATGGGCAAACAAAAATGAGTTTCCTCCCAGGCAATACCGAACCCTGACGTTTGATCGTAAGTAGCACTAAAATTGCTAAGTGCCAGTTTATTTGCCCCAGAATAGGTTGACCAATAACTGGTTTAAGAAATATCACCTTCATTTAGCATCGACTCAATGTTTTTTTGATGGCACATCTTAAGTTTGCCCGCTTCCTGGTGTATTGCAGATGATTTGATCCCGATGATGTCCACAGCGTTTCTCAATTCAGACTATCATCCCAAGAATGGCGGATTCTTCCGGCTTAAGAAGAACAAACCCCTATAGTTGATGGAAAAAAAGACAGGTTTTCCTGTACATGTTACCCTTAAAGATCCTTAAAGCAATCCTTTGATAAACCAATCCATTGATTGAATCGCGTGTGGTCAACATCTGTCTTTTTGATGGTCATCCTCGGCCACGCGTGACGTGACTGTGCTGAGGACCTTCTTCGGGGAGAACTCCACGACCATCGTGTTGGGCGGTGCTGAAGTGGAGCGTCGTGGCACCGCGTGGCAAGGGCGGTTGGAAGTCATGGGCGATCTGATCTTTGGATTTTCCGCTAAACAATTTGTATTTCCCCACCTGCCAGGTGAGGGTTGTTAGATTTTATCAGAGCTGTTGTCCTCCTCCTTCTCCTCCTCCTCCGCCTCCTCCTCCAGTTTCTCCTCGACCATGACTGCATCAACTTCCACCTCCACTTCCGCCTTGCCAACTCTTCGCCAAGCTCTTCGCCAACTTCCGAGCTCAGTGCGCACTGCTGGACCTCAACCTGGGACCTTCCCAGCTCAGTGCGCACTGCTGGACCTCAACCTGGGACCTTCCCAGCTCAGTGCGCACCGCTGGCTCAACCTGGGACCTTCCCAGCTCAGTGCGCACCGCTGGACCTCAACCTGGGACCTTCCCAGCTCACTGCGCACCGCTGGACCTCAACCATGGGACCTTCCGAGCTCAGTGCGCACCGCTGGACCTCAACCTGGGACCTTCCCAGCTCAGTGCGCACAGCTGGACCTCAACGGCCAGATAGAATGCCAGAAGATATGCCAGATAGAATGTCAGATAGAATGCCAGAAGATATGCCAGACAGAGTGCCAGAACATATGCCAGGTAGAATGCCAGAAGATATGCCAGATAGAATGCCAGATAAAATGTCAGATAGAATGCCAGAAGATATGCCAGATAAAATGCCAGAAGATATGCCAGAAGATATGCCAGATAGAATGCCAGAAGATATGCCAGACAGAGTGCCAGAAGATATGCCAGGAGATATGCCAGAAGATATGCCAGGTAGAATGCCAGAAGATATGCCAGATAAAATGTCAGATAGAATGCCAGAAGATTTGCCAGTAACAAAATGTATAAATGTCATGGTGGGGATAACTCGAAGTCAAGTAATTTTGATGAACATTTCCAACTAGAAAGAGTTGTGTCCACATGAGCAACGTTCAGCCTAACACAGTGACAGGCAATGTGGCAACCCCAAACCATCAACCACAGCCGTTTCGTTCTGTAACAAATTGGGTTGAGTAGATTCTGTTTTTTCACATTTGTACTCCAGCAAACTAGAGTGGAAAACTTTTCAAACTCTTCGACTGATAGGGTTTTCAAATCCCTTTCCGAACTTTTTGATTTCGATTTTTCTGACTTGTGGATTTTTCCGATTCCAGACCTTTTAGAGCGGGACGATGCGGGACGTTTTATTTTTTTTCGTGATTTTCGGTTTTCCCATGTCCAAGAGTTTCTCGACAATATGCTTCAAACACCGGGCAAACCCGATTTTTCAACTGTTCGAGTTTTAAAACCTTTGGGCTGAACTTTCCGTTTCGACATAAGCATTCAATTTTTGCAAAGGACAATCCTGAAAAAATTGAAGAGCCCCGAAATCTTGCAAACCCACGGATATAGTCTTCGGGTCCAGCGAACCCCAAAGCAAGCTGAGGATAGTGCTCAAGCCCTGCAAACCCCAGAGAGGTTGCAAATTCGCAAACGTCAGGCAGATTGCCGCAGTGGAGTGGCGCAGAGGAATTGCGGAGGAGGAAGAGGAGGAAAAAAACTGGAAAAAAGGACGGAGCAAACTGATGTAAAATAAACGGATCTTTGCCTGGCAGGTAGGGAAAACAAGTTCAAAACAATGCAGCCACTTGCAAATTGAATAGTTCTTTTCAAGGCAATTTTCTCAAAACTGAAGCGTCGTTTCTTCTGAAAATTGACTCTTCCCCAAATGCATGTCATTTATGAAGAAAAAAACCAGCATCGAAACCTTGTTTTTGCGGAACACTGATACCCCCAAATTGGATGTTTTTGTGTGACAATTTTAATTTAATTATAGCATTGAAACATTTTTTGGTAAACAACAAGTGATGTCCAATGTTTTTTTCGTGAATAACAAACTGTCAGCATTGAAACCTGGCTTTTGCAGAACACTGACGACCCAAAAATTCATGCTTCTTATAACGAAAAGGACATTGTCATAAATTTTCAACCTTAACACTTGACACCCTGTTTTTGCAGAAAAATGATGCCCCAAAAGGGCCTTTTAACATTTGTTGCAACAAACGAATTAGATTGTCAGCATTGATTTTTTTGTGCGAAGTTATTGGCTTCCGAAATGCATGTTTCTTTGAGGAACCACAATACTGAAACTGCTTTTTTCGTAGGTGGATTCTTGATGCATTTTTTTAGTCGCAAAACCGAATGCAGGAATATGTAAATGCAAATGCAAATGCAAAATTGAATGCAGACAGTTTGTTTTTGGAATATGTAAATTTCAGATTTGGTGATGTGCTCCTCTTTGCGCCCCGGCAGTGAGAAAACAATTTGTATGCGCAATCTGAATGTATGGAGATTCCCTTGGATTGCGGATTGCGTATTAGGTCTTTTGATAAGATCACACAAGTAAAACATATATCATATATCATTTTGGACCAGCGACGGGACGACTGAAATCAATCAGCTAAGGCAGGGACATATATGACCATTGCATACCAATGCATCCTTTCAAAGCAACCATTTCAACATTGATTTTTTCAATGAATCCTTTTCTCATAGTGCGCGAGGTGTTTTGGGTTTTGTTTTAATTGTGATGTGAAATAGTTTAAATCTCAGTATATAATATGCATGCCATCTATTGTAGTATTCTTGACTCATTCAGTTTGAACATGTTTGAACCCCAAATCAAAGAGACCCGAATCAAATAAAGTGTTACTATGCTGGTTGATTTGCAGCCTGATTCAAGAACGACATGAGACAACCATTAAAAACGTTCCCAAAAGTTCAATCTTGAACGTAAGCAGAGTTTCGATTTCATATGCGCATATATACATATAAACGTGTCAACCGATTTGCGCCCAGGTCTTAAGTGTACATGTGAAATTTGGAAAATATTTTTTGGCATGTTTTGGCTAGTAAGATTAAAGAAATACGTAACTCCTGGCCGCAGTCTAGTAGTTTTACTTATTTACGAGACTCAAGGTCCCAGGCTAAAAGCGCCACACTCAGAACCATTGCATACCGACGAAAAAAATACATAGGCAATAGAGCGCACAGACAAAGGCTGAGAGCATGTCGCGCAAGCGTGTGGGGCAAGGCTGTCGGGGAGGTTGTTGTGTTGAGAAGGTTTGACACACATTCAGCCGCAGATGCCTTGTCGATTTATGGGTCTTATGGACCAGAGTTGCCACAGAAACAGTTGTTTCGATCGGAAATCCGGTATGGCATGGGAGGACTCGTGGAGCACCATGCCATCATACTGCGAGAATTTAAGCTACTCTGGAATCCACGCTTCGCCTTATCTTTTTTTTTTCCGGCATGCATTCCGCTGATCGCAACAGATCACATCGCATGCAATTGTAACAGAACTTTACTACGTGTTTTTTCGGTCAAGATCACTCGGATAGCCTATCCCCTCATGCGTTGAAACGGTTCGAGCAAGCTTTCTTTGAGCACGGCGCCGAGTGGGTTTGGCGGCCTTTTGGCAGGTAGGTAGGTATTGGACATGCTATATAGATTAAGAGCCAAGCTGGATGCAAAAGTCTTGTGCGTTATGCGGTTTCTTTCTTGTGCCGTGTGTTGCTGGAGAAACTAGACTGGACACATGCACGCAGCTTTCTGATCAACGCTTTCACAAAAGGTCGGGGGTTCGCTTGGAGCGCCGAAAAGTGGATCGCTTAGAGCGCCGGAAAGTGGATCGCTTGGAACGCCGAAAAGTGACATACCAGATATACATAGCGCATCATAGCGCTAGAGTTCCATATATGCGCAGAGGCATATAGACACATAAATGGATGCATTCATATGTCGCTGAAGCACGCGATAACATTCGATGCGATCCGCTTTTCGGAATTACTTGACGAGGAAACGTATCAGGAACGTCTTGCAAGTTACTTTACGAAGATGTTACAACGTATCAGGAACAGCCGGCACGTTACTTGAAGAGGAGTTTTCAACGTATCAGGAACATCTTGCAAGTTACTTGAAGAAGATGTTCCAACGTATCAGGAACATCTGGCAAGTTACTTCAAGAAGATGTTACAACGTATCAGGAACATCTTGCAAGTTACTTGAAGAAGATGTTACAACGTAGCAGGCACGTCTTGCATGTTACTTGAAGAAGAGATGACAAAGTATCAGGAATGTCCTGGAAGTTACTTGAAGAAGATGTTACAACGTATCAGGAACGTCTTGCAAGTGACTTGACGGAGATGTTAGAACATATCAAGAACGTCTTGCAAGTTACTTGACGAAAATGTTACGCCGTATCAGGAATGTCTTGCAAGTTACTTCAAGAAGATGTTACAACGTATCAGGAACGTCTTGCAAGTCACTTGACGGAGATGTTACGACGTAGCAGGAACGTCTTGTCTGTGTGTGCACAGGAACATGAACGCTATTACCCCACCCCACCCCACCCCACCGGTAACTGATCATGAAAGAATAGTGCAGTGCCAACTGACCATGAAAGAATAGTGCAGTGCCTGTGTCTGCAGGACAGCAAGAAAATGATGAGGTTGCTGTGCCTGTGTCTGCACAGGAACATGAACGTTATTACCCCACCCCACCCCACCCCACTCCACCGGTAACTGATCATGAAAGAGCAGTACAGTGCCTGTGTCTGCAGGACAGCAAGAAAGATGATGAGGTTGCTGTGCCTGACTCCCTGTCCCAGCCCCGTGTCCCCAAGCGTTACCCTAAAGGTATAATTCTCCGGTGCTCTAAGTGATCCACTTTTTTGGTGCTCTAAGTGATCCCGTGGTGCTCTAAGTGATCCGGTGCTCTAAGTGATCCACTTTCCGGTGCTCTAAGTGATCCCTTAACCTTCACAAAAACCCCGCCCTTCAACTCAATACACAATGGGAGGTGGCCGCAACCCTCATCGTGAAGAGCAGGTGAAGGGTCTGAACAATGTGGCTTTGGCCCATGGTAAAGCAGCCATCCGTGAAAACTCGGGCCGCCCTCTGGTTAGGGACTTGGTCGCTGAGCTCTTGCGCCTGGAACTGATTGCCGTGCAGCGGGACAAAGTTTCCCAGCTTTCAGCCTCATATGAGGCAAGCTTCGGGGAAGCGGGCGAGGGCCCCCAACCCGAAGCCAACGAGGAGCACAAGGCGTGTCGGCGACCATGGAACGCGCCTCCCCCCTGCAGGCAGGGGCTGAAAGTAAACATTGCTGCTAGGCTGTTTTGTGGCTTGTTTCGTTGGTTCTCTGGCACCCCTGGGTGCATTTGCACGCCTACTTGCACCTCAAGAAGCCCTTCCAACGGCGTGGCGCCGACGCCCTGCGCCCTTTGCCTTTGAAGGCATCCAGCCCCACCTGGAACCCAACCGGGCTTCAGGCAAAGTCTCTGCAGGAGCCATCCGCCTAGGCCATTTCTACGTGGTGGCGGACTTGTTTCTTAGGCTGCACAAGTATGGGCCCCCTTTTTTCCCCCCAACGCCACTTTGCCGCGTGTGTGCGGCTGTGGCCTCCGAGGTTCCACTACACCACGTACCCCCCCTTCCAAGCTTATGCTGTGGAAGGGTGGTGGCTGGACAACCTCCTCAAGGGCGGGAAATTGACCCGACAAACCTACCTGACCACGGTAGGGTTCCAGAAGAGGTTGGGGGATTGCAAGGCAGCGGAAAGGTTTTTGCGAGAAGAGGTGGTGCGCGATAAACCCCACATCTGA